CCCACAAGCAAAACGGCAGAAAGTCTCTGGAGTTTAACCAGTTCTCTAAGGGTTAAACAGTTCTTAAAGTCTTCTCTGCTGTGGAAACATCTGGCTGACTCCTTGGTGCTCTTGCCGGAGGGGCCTCAGTGGAGATATGGATGACGTCATTCTTCCAGTTGGGTCCTCGGTGAATGCTGGTTCCCTCAGGCAGGCTTGCTCCAAAGAGGGAGAAATGGCTGTCCTCTCGCTATAGGATCGAATTAGTCAGGCTGGAATCCATTTTGGAGAGCTTATGACCTGTAACACAGACTAAAACTCTAGCCTCTTGGTTACCCACACACACTCTTAAACTAAACTCCCTCTTGAAAACTTGTAAGCCAGTCACTTTGTGCCTTTATTGTCCCCTCATTTTAACTAGCCAATGTCTAAGTTGTCCATACCTATTTACCCTGTATACAGAGGCGATAGGATTGATACTAGATATGAAGACTCCTTCCCTCTCAGTTGGTATTTTGAGATACGACATCCATAAGTATAGGTCAAGCTCATCAAATTGTAGCAATTTACACTTGCTTCCTTAATTTAAATTTTCTTCTTATCTTCCTCAAGTCGAGTTCTGATTATCAAGCCATCAAAGCTAGATCAAATGGGTACTATCTACAAGTTTGTGCATATTTGTGCATCTCCCTTTACTTCATATAAGCTGGATGCTTGCCCTCTGTGGCTATGTCCTTGTCCATGGGCTTAGGTGTTCCCAGGTCTCACCACACTTTAGGCCAACCAGCTCTTCCTCTTCTCTCTCTCATCTCCAGGTCAACAGGAGTCTATGGAATGTGATTGAACCTCAGCCAATTTCTTCATTACTGCCTTAACCCCTTTTCCACTCACTAGTAGACCAATGTGTTCACCAGCAAGCTTACATGTCTACTTATGTGTTCCCTTTGAGTTTGAGTCTTGGAGGGGATTTTATCCTAAAGGGACTTGATTACTTGCCTTGATGGCTTCCTGGCAAACAACTTACTTGTTCTTGTAGTAGCCAATCATACTGCCATTTTTCTTTTGGGTTTTCCCTGCTGACCTTTCTTTGAATATGTAATTTCTGTTGCTCTAGCTGTTCCAGGCTGGTTTGCTTGTCCTTTCTAATGGGAATGTCCCACCTCAAAAGGTTCTGGATTGGGCTCTGGATTCCACCTAAATTCCTATACATTTCAAAGACTCTGCAAGAGGACTATTTCACTGAGCAAGTTCTAGAACTTCCTTTTAGGCTGAAGATGGGCTTACAGATTTTCTGTAATCATGTTTCCCAACATTCCTTTTTATCCCACTCAAGTGTCCATTTTACAATAGTAGGCTAGGGTAACCAATGTTCATAAGACAGTTTAAGCATCTTAGCATTATTTCCTTTCTTCAGACTATACCTCAATCCCTATATCACAGAGCCCTGTTGTTCCCAGGTTGAGCATGCATTACTATTTACTTCTGTCTCATTTAATCTGGCTTCTTTTGTTTCACATTATGCTGGTGGTGAGACTTAACAGCTGTGCATGTTGTTGTTAGGTGCTGTCAAGTCAGTTTCAACTAACAGAAACCTTAAGAACAAAACACTGCCAGGTCCTGCATCTTACTCACACTTGTTCTTATGTTTGAACCCACTGTGGTTGTCATGTGTCACTCCATCTCGCTGGGAGTCTTCCTTATTTCCACTAACCCTCTATTTTACCAAGCATGATGTTCTTCCTTCTCCAAGGATTGATCCCTCCTGAGAACATGTCTAAAAAGTTAAGAGATAAAGTCACCCCTTCCTGGTTTCTATGGAGCATTCTGGCTGCACTTCTTCAAAGACAGGTTTATTGCTTTCTGGCAGTCCATGGTACTTTCAAAAATTTTCACCAACATCATAATTCAAATGCATCAATTCTTTTACAGTCTTCCTTATTCATTTTCCAATTTTCTCACAAATATGAGGCAATTGAAAATACCATGGCTTGAATCAGGTATACCTTAGGCCTCAAACTGACATCTTTACTCTTTAACACTTTAACAAGGTCTTTTGCAGCAGACTTGCCTAATGCATTACATCATTTGATTTCTTGACCTCTGCTTCCATGAGTATTGATTATAGTTTCAAGTAAAATGAAGCCTTTGACAAATTTAATCTCTTCTCCATTTATATGGATGTTATTTATTGATCCAGTGTTAGGGATTTTCTTTTCCTTTACATTGAGGTGCAATACATACTGAAGACTATAGTCTTTGAACTTCACAAGCAAGTATTTCAAGTTCTCTTCACTTCCAGCAAGTAAGGTTGTGTCATCTGCATATTACAAATTGTAATGAGTCTTCTGCCAATCCTGATACCATATTCTTCTTCATATAATCAAGTTTCTCAGATTATTTGCTTAGCATACAGATTGAGTACGTATGGTGAAAGGACACAACCATGACACACACCTTTCCTGATTTTAAATCATTCAGCCTCCCTTTGTTCTGTTTGAATGACTACCTCTTGGTCTATGTACAGGCTCCTCATGAGCACAATTTAATGTTCTGGAATACCTATACTTGGCAATGTTATTCATAGTTTGTGATGCTCTGCACAGTCAAAAGTCTTTGCATAGTCAATAAAGCACAGGTAAACATCTCTCTGGTGTACTCTTCTTTCAGTCAAGATTCACTTGACATCAGCAATGATAGTCTTCCTTCCATATTCTCTTATGAATCCAGCTTGAATTTCAGGAAACTCTCTATCTATGGTGAAAATCCCTGGTAATGCAGTGAGTTATGAGTTGAGTTGTTAACCATAGATCAGCAGTTCGAATCTACCAGCCACACATGGGATAGAGGTGAGGATTTCTACTCTGGTAAAGATTTACAGCCTTAGAAACCATATACTGAGTCACTATGAGTCAGAAACAACCCAACTGCACACAACCACCACCATGTCTATGTATTGCTGCAATTGTTTTTTAGTTATCTTAACGCAAAATTTTACTTGCATGTAATGGTAAACAATATTAATGATAGTATTAATTGAATTTCACATTCTGTTGGTTCATCTAACTTTGGAATGAACATAGATATTGATCTCTTCCATTCAGCTGACCAGGTAGCTTTCTTCCAAATTTCTTGGCATAGGTGAGTGAGCACATCCAGTACTGCATTAGTTTGTTGAAATATTTTCATTGGTATTCTGTCAATTCCTGGAGCTTTGTTTTTTTGGCCAATGCCTTCAAAGCAATTTGGATCTCTTTCCTAAATATTATCAGTTATTGATCATGTGGTACCTCTTGAAATGATTGAACATCAGCCAATTCTTTTGGTACAGAGACTCTGTATTCCTTCCATCTTCTTTTAATGCTTCCTTTGTCATTCATATTTTGCACATAGACACTTTCAATATTGCAACCTGAGGATTGAAATTTTTCTTCAGTTCTATCAGCTTGAGAAATACTGAATGTGTTCTTCCTTTTTGGATTTTCTAATTCCGGATCTTTGTTCATTTTATTGTAATACTTGAATTTGCCTTCTTGAAAATTTTAATTCAAGAAAAGAAACTTCCTCATTTCTTCCCATTACTATGGCTTCTCTATGTTCAAGAGAAACTTTCAGAGTCTCTTCTGGTATCCATGTTGGTCTGTTCTTTCTTTCTTGTCTTTTTAATAACATTTTGCTTTCTTCATGGATGGTGTTCTTAATGTCATCCCACAATTCCTTATTAGTGTCTAATGCATCAAATATGTTCTTGAGATGGTCTCTAAATTCAGAAGGGATATACTACAGTATTGAAGGATTCTATGGGCAAAGTATTGAATGATGAAGAAATCATCAAAAGAAGATGGAAAGTATACAAAGAAGCTGTGTATCAAAAAGAAACAGTCGAGACTGATGATCGACCTCATTTGGGGGAAGTGCATGGCCAGCATGGCACTGGCACCAGCCTGGAAACAAATGTCATGGTTCTACTACCAGTACCTGCTCCTCATGGCACTGTACGTGCTGGAGCCCTGGGAGTGGACTGTGTTCAATTCGATGCTGGCTTCTGTTGTGGGGATGGCACTGTACACAGGATATGTCTTCATGTGGCAACACATCATGGCCATATTGCACTACTTTGAAATCGTACGGTGATCACCATGTGACCAAGATCCAGAGGTTCCTGAAGAACCACTCTCTGAAGTTGGAGTGGGACTTCATCAGATGTCATAAGAAACTGCTAGATGTCAACATATGAATGCTCAAATTCATGAATAGGACAGGAAAATAAACCTAATTCATGTTGTGTTATTTATTCTTAATTTTAAAAGATGCTCTTGTAGAGTAATTTTTGTCTATTTTAACATTGTAGTCATTTGTACTTTGATATCAGTATTTTCTTAATCTTTGTGACTGTTTCAATATCACCCCATGGAAGCTTTTCTTAACATAACTGAGTACATTTTAATTGCCTTATATTTTTAAAATCCAAAGGCATTAGTTGGCTTTACTGCTGTTACTATTGCATGGGATATACATCAGCCTAGATGTGTTTCTACACTTGACCAAACTCTGTAAGAAACAATACAAGATATGGGGCAAGAGGGAGGGGAGGGACAATATTTTATTGAGCACTACTTACAAAAGACTCCCTGTAAGTTCAAACTCAGGAGTCCAGTTTGAGTTATCTAGAATCCACTCTATTGAGCAGCTTATGATTTAAAACTATGAAAGCTTTTCCTAACAATGAAAAAACAGATCCTGCTAAAGTCAAAATAGAGGAACATTTCACCTTTTAAATATTGAATTCTTACTAGAACTTATTTCCAGAAAACTTATGATGATGATTCTTATGACCAAATGTTCTCAATTGGCTTGTCCTGGTGTGGCACTGTGGGCTAATGTGTCAGACTGCAAAGTCATTTGAACTGCAAGGTCAATGGTTCAGGCTCACCAGCCACTCCTTGGAAACCCTACACAGGGTGGCTATGGGTTGGAATTGACTCAACGGCACTTAACAATGACAACAACAACATATACTATAGTGTTTTTAATAGAAAGTGAATCAATTTCCTCTGAGGGCCACTATTTTCATGATTTTAATGTGTGCTATAAATGCATTTGCACATTGCAGTAAGATAAATTGTATTGTTGTTAAAAATTAGAGCAAAAAAAGGTGTAAAGTTGGTTAACATCCTTTCATCTTTTTTTTTTTTAAAAAAAAGATTTCTAGTTCTTAAATGTAAAATGACTACCTAAGTTTTTTTTAATGTAAACTCATTAATTTCAAAGGGAGAAGAAAAAAGAAGTGGTTGATATGCAACCATTTAATGACGTAGCAAATTATCAAGAACCAATGGTACTGAAGAAAGAAGTCCAAGCTGCACTGAAGATGTTGTTGAAAAGCAAGGCTCCGGAATTCCAAAATGAAATCTTTCAACAAACTGATGCAGCACTGGAGGCACTCACTTATCTATGCCCATTCCAAAGAGATATGACCCAACAGAATGTGGAAATTATCAAACAATATCATTAATATCACATGCAAGTAAAATTTCACTGAAGCGAATTAAAAAACAGCTGCAACAGTACATAGACAGGAAACTGCTAGAAACTCAAGCCAGATTCAGAAGAGGCTGTGGAACTGGGGATAACATTGATGATGTCAGATGCATCTTGGCTAAAGTAGAAAATATCAGAAAGATGTTTACCTGTGCTTTATTGACAATGCAAAGATTTTTACTGTTTGGATCATGACGAACTATGGATAACATTGTGAAGAATGGGTATTCCAGAATACTTGATTGTGTTCATGAGGAACCTGAACATAGATCATGAGGCAATTATTAGAACAGAACAAGGGAATACATAATGGTTTAAAATGAGGAAAGGTGTGCGTCTGGCCTGTATTCTTTCACCATACTTATTCAATCTGTAAGGAGCTCTGGTAGCTTAGTGGTTATGAATTGGGCTGTGAACCGCAAGGTCAGCAGTTCGAGACTACCAGCTGTTCCATGAGAGAAAGGTGAGACTTTCTGCTGCCGTAAAGATTTACAGCCTCAGAAACCCTGTTCAGGGTCACTATGGGTCGGAACTGACTCAATGGCACTTAACAACAGCAACAGCATTCAATCTGTATGCTGAGCAAATAATCCAAGAAGCTGGGTTATATGAAGAAAAACATGGCATTAGGATTAAAAGAAGACTCATTAACAGCTTGCAATATGCAGATGATACAACTTTGCTTGTTGCAAGCCGATAGGATATACAATACTTACTTACTGATGAAGATCAAAGACCACACTACAGATTATACCTCAATGTAAAGAAAACAAATTTTTTCACAACATCAGGATAAATGGAGAAAAGATTGTCAAAAGACTTCATTTTGCTTGAATCCATAATCAATACTCACAAAGCAACAGTCAAGAAATCAAATGGTGAATTGCACTAGACAAATCAACTG